TTATTTTGCACACATTATATATATGTAACTCGTGTAAGTTTTAACATGCATACGATCGAGAATATATGGTATTAATTCCTTTGCAAAACCCTGAACATACCAGGATATTTCCTTGCAACATCTGATGTCATATCACACCCATCTAACATTATATATATCTAACATCTGATGTTATATATCTACGTACACAGATGAAAGAGGATCAAAGTGGTAACATAAAGTTTAGAAACAACAGATGGTTAACCATTTGCAAAAAGGAGACCACGTAGTTAGAATTAATTCTAAAGGCAATAAAAATGTAGTAAAATAGCTAAAACCTACTATTAACTTGAAAAAAGAAAAAAAAACGAAATAGCTTCGGGTACTCTTCACTATAAAAAAGAAAAATAGTAAAGGGACCGCTATATATCTAATGGAGCATTATAATTTATCCTTTAATACAAACTAGAAATGAGTGCATTCGATTCGTAGAAAATAATTAGATTTAGAATAAATCACAATCACCTAGTAGACAATCAACTGCTACGATTAAAAGTAACGATGCCTCCACTAATTAAAATTTTTTTTTTATGGTGATAGGACCAAATTCATAAGAAATAACTAGAGCTAGACCTACATTAACATGGGGCTTTGGGCAAAACTCCATAGAAATTACTAAGAGCCCCATATTAGTTATGGTCCATGTTTGCACCCAACAAACCCCTAACAAACCCTAGCTACTACAATCCACCACAAGAAAACTTAATTAGGCACGCATTGCGTCTAGCTAGTAATTAACTCTTAATTAAGCCATCGTCATCATCCTCTGGAACTCGTGATAATCAAGAACCCCATTCCCATCCAGATCATAAAACCTAATCATCCCCGCGCACTCCTCCTGCGTCCTCTCCTCCCCGAGCCTCCCCAGCACCTGCTGCAGCCCCCTCGGCGTTATGGTCCCGCTCCCCTTCTCGCTCTCGAACGCCTCGAACGCCCTCCTCAGGTCCTCCTCCCCCTCCTCCATCTCCATCAGCCTCAAGAAATCCCCGTAGTCCATAAACCCGTCGCCATCTGAGTCGTGGTCCCTCATCACACGCTCCACGTCGCCCTCCGCCACGCTGTCGCCCGCCCACGCGAGGAATGCGCGAAGCTCGGAGGGCGAGATCTTGCCGTCGCCGTCTGTGTCAAAGCGACGGAAGGCTTCCATGTAGCTGCTGCTGCTGCTGGTGGAGGAGGAGGATGGCGCAGAGGGGGTTTTCTTGCGGAGGCGGAGCTTGAAGGATTTGCTGGAGAACCATCTTGACGCCATTGATGAATGTCTGTTCGTTGATAGAAAGGTGATATTAATTGATGGTGATTAATTGTGGAGAATTAAGTGTTTGGGCCGGGGGCGGTGGTATTTGTAGGGGGAGGGAGAGCGGGTGGGGGTGAAACCGTGAAAGTGCAAGGAGGTTGCATGGGGTTTAAGGAGACTGATGAGAGGAAGGCGCATGGGAGCTTCCTTTGCTTTCCTTTTTAGGGTTTTGGGTTTTAATGGGAATCTTGGTGGCTTTTTCTTGCTGGTTTTGGATAAGAAACGAGAATATGTACTATATTTGAAGGGGGAGTCAATATATACTTGAATTAATTGGCCATTAATTTTTTTTTTTTTAGTTTTTCACTTACGGGGGTTACGGGAAAATTAAATGGAAGATTGTTTGATCCGTTGCTAACTATGCATCAATCAGTGGGGAGTTTCCCTTGTTTGTTAGGATGCAGCGTTAGGAAACTTCACTTGTTCATGCATGTTATGGTACCGTATTATTAATTCTGGGCCGGGGTTGTGGATAAAAGAGGGAAAGGACTTGCTGGAAGAGGAGATGGTGCTTTTTCCAGTTGCCTGCCCTCTTTAGGAGAGGGGAGTTAGTATTAGGTACAAGTTTTTGTTAGGATGCGCAGACTTAAGTTCGTGGTCTTCCACTAGAGAATTCAGTAGTTGGTAATACTATGCATGCATGTCCTTGATGTGAACATTTCTAAGTTTTTGGAATTATGCACTCTTTTGATTTAGTTCTTCTCATGCAAGTGAAGCAAGGTACCTGATATGATGTGTTACTGATTTATATTAAAAAAAGGAGAAAAAGAAGGGGTTATTGGTCTTTTCATGTCGACGACAAGATCGGTTAGTGAGTCAAGCTGGAGTATAAAATCAAGCTCCTGATGTTTTCTTTGTTTGGATTAAATCTAATTATGGGCATATATGTTACATTAGTGGATAATGCTATCCTTAAGGTTAGCCCGCCTAAAGTGATCAATAAATTTGGGTTAATGGGTATTTAAATAATGGTTTTTCTATAGAGTGCCCATGGGCACTCTATAAGAGGGGAGAGAGATAGAAAGAAGTGAATTGTCCATAGAATTTAGTGCAAATCAGGAGGGCCCATGGGCAATTCACTTCTCTCTATCTCTCTCCTCTCTTATAGAGTGCCCATGGGCACTTTATAGAAAACCCCTTTAAATAAATCATGGGCTAAATGTGCGGATACCAGGTTGTAATTATAATTTAATACGAGGCCAAATTATAAAAGAACAATAACTATAAATAAGGGGTTATGGTCCCTAATCTAGGGTTACATTTTCTAATTCTCTTCACCCCCATCTAGAGAGAAATTTGGCTAGAGAGACCCTCAAGATTAGAAAAAAGATCAAACCCTAATTCACATCCGTGCAAATTCGATTCAGGTATTGCTTCCGCGTTCTTGTGATTCTTCTCTTTGAATTAATCATAAATAAATTTATAACAAGTGGTATCAAAGCCACCGTGTTTAATTCTTTGAGATTTATGTTTAAGATTAAGAATTAGGGGTTTTTGATCTTAATTTAGCTTTATTAAGATCTGTTGCATGTTTGGATCTGTGCAAATAAGATCTGTAGCATGAAATTTTCAATTTTTGGTTCAATTCTGTTTGCTTTGGAACTGTAGCATGCATGAACAGTAAAGAAAGTTCGTATTTTGGTTTGATTTTTTCTTTCGGCTGACTGAATCTAGATCAAACTCTTGATCCAGATTGTGAGAAAATCATCAATTTCATGAATTAAGGATTAAATCATTGATAAAAAAAATTGTGTGCAATCAAGTTCATAATTGTCAGCAAAAGAAATTTGGGTTCAGTCATCGAACGCTCCGCTCCTCGCCGGCGATGTTCGCTAGCGGCCCCGCTGTCAAAGGAAGATAGTGGTGGTGACATTAGGAAGCCCTAAGGTTTCGAAACCCTAGGGTGCGGGAGCTTAAGCGGCGGCGGTGGAGGCCAAAAGCAATCAGGAATCTAGGGTTTTTTCGAAACCCTAGGTTGCAGCAACCCAAGCAGCGGTTGCGTCATGTTTTTTTTATAAAACCCTAACGGGTGAAGGAAATTGGGCTAAGGAATTTACCCGTTGTAGGCGAGCTCGAACGCTTGATTCAGGCGAACTTCGACTCATTTAAGGTGAGATTCGATGCTCGATTCAGGCGAGCTCAAGCCTCGATTACCGACGAGCTTTTCGAAGCTCGAGTCACGCGAGGTCATCCCTCAATTGTAGGCGAGCTCTGAGCTTGACTCAGGCAGGTTCGGTCTCGACTCAGGAGGGTTCGGTCTCGATTCAGGCGAGTTTTGAGAACTCGATTCAGATGAGGCCGAAGCTTGTTTTAGGCGAGCCTCATCGAAAGGTTCAGGCGAGCTTCGATTTAGCTTGATTCTCACGTGAGATTTAGTTTGCGGTTGAGGATTAATGAGCTCGAATTCATTTTATGAAGGCAAGCTTGACTCTCCACGGCCAAATGAAGGTTGTAGGCGAGATATTTGGGCTAGGGCACTGACCAAAGCCCACTTAATCCAATTTCTTTTATTGGGTTGAGTTGTGATAGGTCAAGCCCACTTAAGAATTTTATTTGGTTATGGACCTGAATATTAATTAACTTAAGTTGGGCCTGTAACTATTTAAGTTGTGGATTATTTGATTATTAATCAAATAATTTTTAAGTTGTAGGCCATTAAATTTTTAATGGGCCTATCTATGGTTAATTAAAATAGAGAAATTTATTTTAATTGCTCAAATAACCTCTGAAATTCATTTAATATGAATTTAAATTAAATTCGATAGGATCAATTATTTAATTTAAATAATATGACACTAATATATTAAGGTTGTCTATTTTTCCCAATGATTAATTAAAACAAGATGTTGTCAAAGTAACTTCTCTTGTGTAGATTGTTCATGAGGAATGCTAGATGGTTGTGTGTATGTTTTCATGTAAATATTTAATCGACCCAAATGAAGATTAATATTTATTTAGATTGCATACACATCTACGATGATAAACATGTGACAATTATAACATTAACATGTGAATAAATGAATCGATCCAAAGATAGTTTCATTGTTTGACATGAGTTATTGTCAGTGTTTGATCATTACAACAATGTATCACTTACAATTAATATTACTATCCAAAGACTTGATATTAATGTTGTACTAGATATCTTAAGATGGGGTTTGTCATTATTTGAATTTTATTGATTACTAATTAATGTTAAAATTTTTTATTTATTTTAGCGAATGCATCTGTTGTAACAATTTCTGCTAACATCAACTCAAATTCCATGCTCAATGGGACTAATTTTAAGGTTTGTAAAGAGAACATATTAATTATTCTTGACTGGATGGATCTAGACCTTGCATTAAGAACTGAACAACCTCAACCTCTCATTACGGATAGCACTCTTGATGCAAAGAAGGAGTATGAGAAATAGGACCGTTCAAATCGTACGAGTCTCATGATCATTAACCGCGGCGTTCCGGAAGCCTTCAGGGGTATATAATCCGAAGGAATTACTAAGGCTAAAGATTTTATTACCAAAATTGAGAAACGTTTTGCGAAAAACTATAAGGTAGAAACAAGCACACTTTTAACTCACTTGATTTCAATAAAGTATAAGGGCAAAGGAAATATCAGGGAGTACATTATGAAATTGTCTCATATTGCTTCAAAGCTTAAGGCACTTAAACTCGATCTTTGTGATGAGTTATTGGTGAATCTGATTCTGTTATCTCTTCCTACATAATTCAATCAGTTTAAGGTCAGTTATAATTACCAAAAGGAGAAATAGAATCTAAATGAGCTCATTTCATACTGTGTGCAAGAAGAAGATATATTGAAGCAAGATAAGACTGAAAGTGCTCATTTGGCCTATGCCTTTAAGGATAAGGGTAAGAAAAAAAAGAATAATAATGAAGCTACTAAAGGTCCAATTCAGAAGAAATAACATAAGGATGACCAGGGTTGTTTCTTTTACAATAAGGCTAGACACGTAAAGAAGGATTGTACCAAATATCACGCTTGGCGTGCTAAGAATGGTATGTTCCTTACTTTGGTCTGTTCTGAAGTTAATTTAGCTTCAGTACCTAGAAACACTTGGTGGTTAGACTCTGGTACTACTACTCATATAAGTGTTTCTATGTAGGGTTGCCTGAGCTACCGAAAGCCAAGTGATGTTGAAAGACACATTTTTGTAGGCAATGAACAATCGGTAGATGTGGAAGCAATTGGGCACTTTAGGTTGCTGTTAGGAACTGGTTCTTATTTGGATTTGAAAGATACTTTCTTCTTTTAGACGGAATTTGATTTCTGTTTTTGTATTAGACAATTCATGTTATTCTTGTTTATTTGGAAACAATCAATTCAGTTTATCTTTTAATTCAAATATTGTGAGATCTGGTTACTTGAGTACTTATGATAACCTATATTTGCTTGATACAATTGCTTCTTATAATGAAACTTTGCATGTGGAATCATGTGGTACTAAGCGTAAATTAAATAAAAAAAATCGACGATATTATGGCATAAGCACTTGGGTCATATCTTAAAAGGTAAAGTTGAGCGTCTTGTGTCTGATGGTATTTTAGATTCCCTTGATTTTTTGAATTTTGACGTTTATGTTGAATGTATCAAGGAAAAACAGACCAAAGTTAAGAGATTAGGTGCTAATAGATCTTCAAAAATTTTAGAATTGATACATACAAATATTTGTGGGTCATTCCCTACGGCATCTTGGAATGGTCAATAATATTTTATATCATTCATAGACGATTACCATGTTATGGGTACCTATATCTCATTCATGAAAAATCTGAGTCTCTCGACATGTTCAAAGCTTTTAAAGCTAAAGTTAAGAATCAACTCAACAAAAAAATTAAAACCGTTAGATCTGATCATGTTGGTGAGTACTACGACAGATATGATGGTTTATGTGAACAACATTCAGGACCATTTTCTAGATACCTAGAGGAATG